ATGAAATGTTGAGGTTGTTCTACCGGGTATCCTGGAGCAGTCAGTATCGTGTAAGGATGCGATCTCACAAGAGTACTTAATGGAATGTGTTATACAAGTGTTTCCGGATGAGTATCATCTAGCAACACTGCACGAATTCCTTCACGCTTGCTCGGAACTTCATCAAGGTGTTCAAGTGAGTCTTCAACATATTCATTATTTCGTGCATAGTGGCTGCGAAATAGTGATACATTGAGCATATTTTAACGAATTTGCAGTGAACACTCGTCGTCAGTTTCAGTGTGCTGATAGTAATCTTTAGAAGATAGTAACTAAACGCTGAACTTTTAATTTTTCTTGATGTTTTTCCCGGATGAATGGTAGCTTCATGGATGCAGTGTGTTATCAGTTTATTATCGTTTATGAGAATGTCAAGAGATCTGTACAAGGGCGTATATAGGTATTGTAAATTGATCGGAAATGGGTGGACATTTTTGCAGAGTTTTGGCTTTTCCAGATAAAATTCCGTTCAATTTAAGCAATTGGTGGCAGTCGATGCTGTTGAGCTGTCTGTATTTCAGATTAAAAATGTTCTCATAGCGCTAATAGATCGTTTAGCGATCTATGCGACGTGTGAAGGTGGAGGCATCCCTTCGGACTTGCCCTTGTTTGATATCTTCTCGAAACAAGTGGAGTCGGTGGTAGCCAGCCGAGAGGAAATGCCTCCAGCAGATATCGTTGATCTACAGGTGAGCGGATATCTTAATTTGGTTCCATTTGTTCCAGTTGTAATGCGATTTAGAGGCTTCGTATAAGTTGTCCTCAGATTCTAGATTTGGTTCGGAGTTCTTCTGTGATTTTGCAAAGCTCACTGGAAATTTCATTAAGATGCAAATTGGAAAATGTACAATTTGCTTTCTCTGCTTTTTTTTAGACAGCCTTGGTAAATTTCGCCATAAAATGCTATCCGGACAGGACGGATTTTGCGAATACAGTGTTCGATACAACAGCGAATATCTTCATCAAAATGAAAATCTCAAAGTTAGTTAGTTCGT